GTTGTTGCGAAGGGTTTCACAGCTGAGCAGGCGAGGAAGGTTATGAGCAAGGAGAATACGAGTGAGTGGGCACTCTCGGATACGCAGGATAAGGTTCTTTCGAGATTTTAAAGTGTTTGGCCTTTTATATATTATTTGTATATATAATCTGGGTTGCTAAGTTCGTCTACTGGCTGGCATCTGCATTTTAACGACATGTTCCCTATCTGCTGGAAGATCGTCGTGCCATCTCCTACGGATTAACCCTAATACACCCCTCTGTTTTGATTCCCTCGCCTTCATGCTGTATATAGCCCATTTCCCCCTTCTATTTAGTCCGTTCGTTTGTCACGATCTGACATGCTTGTTCCAGTCATGGTTCGTCCAATTAGCTAGACGACTAGAATGAAATGAGATTATGCCACACACTCTAAAGTAAAGTGCACTGACGATCCAAAACCTCCGTTCTCTCACTCCCATTCAGTCTACGCTTTTTTTTTTTTTTTTTTTTTTTTTTTTTTTTTTGGAACCAGGATTTCAATATACCCCTGTTACCCGGCCATGCGTATATAACTGTCACTCATGCCGCCCCCAATGTCTCCACCACAGAATTGGCCGGCCTCGGGACTTCGGCTGGCTCCATCAAGGCTTGTCGGGTGGTCATTAATTAACTTGCCGAACCGACCGGCACTTTGTATTGCTCCAATGATGAATGATAAAACATCCCACGATTCTGACAATCTGTTATTATTACCATCTTTTAACAAGTATAGTTACTACCTGACAGAATGGATATATCACATGTGCCGGTAGCTGGAAGGAGATTGATCCGAGCTACCGTCAAACGATGTTGTCAAGCTCTGAATTATATCCGTAGACAATGTAGGTTGCAGTTCAAAGGGGGGAACAGTAGAAATGTGGGACCCATCCATCACGTGATTTATATTCCAAATCGTTCTCGTATTTAGCAACCTTTGCAATCGAACAAGCTTGCATCCACGAGCCATCAAATGTTTAGTTAGATTTAAGCACTCACATCGCCTGATTTTGTCTTCGTCCTTTTTTTTTTTCTTTTTCGCTTTTTAAATGAAATTTGTGGAATATCTACTCAATATAGAATTCAGGGTCAGATGTATATTCACATGGTTTTTCTTAACAGACTGTTATTGAAGCTCTACCAACACAGCCGCTCCAGTGGTCCAATGGTTAGGATTCTTGCCTTCCAAGCAAGAGGTCCGTGTTCGATTCACGGCTGGTGCAAAGTGAATATCTTTTTATGTCTTCTCTTATTTTCCTTACTCATTACTTACTGATCCCACCCTCTTATCTTTTGCATCTTTCTTATCGTTAACTTTTTCTTTTCAATCTGAGCAAATATATATATATAAATAATCCCTTGAATTTCTGAATCTCTCGAGGGTAAAATCACGTGGTATCTAACTACAGAAAACCTCCTTGATTATCTAATCCGCACGTCATCCGTTGTCTCGAAATTTTCTCGCTTCTCATTAGTTTTTTCTCTTTTCCTTTTCTTCTCCATACATATTCCAGGTCTCTAACATGCCCTTGTTGTGGTAGCTATTTCGATCTTTTCGGTGGCCTCCAATTACCTCTACAAATTTAAGTAGGAGACCGAGAGCAATTATTATTTTCCATAACGTGCCTGTTCTAATCCCAGCTGTTGTTTGGGTGTCAAAATGCTTTTTGTTGCCTGACATGTCGATTGATGGATTCGCTTTTTGGGCATATAAATAGTTTTGATTTCTCTTGATTCGTTTCCTTTTCTTTGTTACCCTTTTCTGTTAATTGTTACTGCATAGACGGATATATGGAGGCAGCAGGACCGGTTATAGGGACCAATCAAAGGGTTGGAATCTATGAAATTGATACCTTGGTTTCATTCAGTATTCCAATGAGATGAAATCGGAGTTTGATCGATAATGGCCATGATTATTGATCCACTTCATTTCCCTGGCTTCTTTTGAACTACATCTCAAGGACAAGGAGGATGCTTGCAGCCAGCATCACGACCTTCA